TGAAGCGGAAGGCAGATGGAGCCCACACTGGATTGGGCAAAAAACAACGTCTGATGGAAAATTACTAAATCTAACTTTGTTGTTCTTGATCACATGGAAGCCAGGGGTGGGATACGCTCACTTCCCCTAACGGGTTGTGAGATTCACAACCAAGAGCATTTTGGGTATGAAAAAAATTGAATTTATTAAATTTTTTTTATTAATTACATATTGGGAATTAAAAACCCATATTACATACGTGATTTATTTTTTAAAAAAAATAAACCCTACAATAAATATATTTCTCTCTCTTCCTATGTCTCTCTTCATTTTCAAGCAACCACTCCGACCGGCTGACTTTCCGACCGACAGACTTTCTCCGGAAAAATCTTTGAATCAGACTCGCTTTGGCCACCTGTAAAAAATTACCACTCCGTCTGTGCGCTAGTGGTACGCTACCACTATCACCGGTACCACTACCAGTCAGTACTGAGTAGTGGTACTCTATCACTACTAGTGAGTAGTGGTACGCTACCACTACCACTGGTAGTGGCACCAGTGAGAAATGGTAGCGCTACCAGTGATAGTGGTACGCTACCATTGGTGGTGGGTAGTGGTACCACTACCATTGGTATGTTATCAGATGAAAATCACTACCACTAGAGAGTAACACAAAAAAAAAAAAACAGATCCGAAATCCGAAAAATCATAGATCTCCAAAAAGGGATGAGGAAAAGGGGAGTTTGTGACCTTGCGACGGGGACCTCGTGGAGGTGGTGGTGGGAGGCGGAGGAAGGGGGCAGCGGTGGAGGGCGTGGCAGGGGGAGAAGGGCAGAGGAGCGTCGCGGGACGGCTGCGGAGGCGATCGAGGGTGCAGGATGGAGTGGAGGGAGGCACAGGGCCGCGGGACGGCTGCGGCGGCGGGCGAGGGCGCGGCAGGCAATGATGGGGGTTGGAGGGGGTGGCGTCTACGGGAGAGAGGGAGAGAGGGAGAAATTATGGTTCTTTATTTATTTATATGATAGGGAGAATGATTGAGTGTGGTAAGTTATTTCACTTCCAAAAATACCATTCATTTCATATTAGCCATCAATTTGAAAAGGAAAAAGAAAGAGACAAGAGAGATAACGGAATTAATGGTTATAAAGTGGGTTGTTAATCTAGGGGGTTGTGACGGTATCCCATCCTTAAAACCATATTATTTTAAATATATGCTAGAAAACTATTCCAAACCAGTGATAGAATGAGGAGACATCCACATCCTTATCTCCTACTAATTGAGACAATAGAGTTGGAGTTCGATATCAAACCCACCGGTTACAACATTGCAGACTCTATAAGTGAATTTTACTTGCGCATAAATTATATTTCATATTTGAAAGAACTATACCATTAAAATTTTTATCTAAATGAAATGCAAGAGAAGAAGAAAGAGTATGCTAATGGTCAAGGTAATAGGTATGATGAGAGCGAGGATTTTGTGAACCCTAGATTGATTAATAGAAAGATACAATTAAAGGAGAATGGGCCAAAACTATGGAGAGAAATAGACAACGAGATAAGGAATCATTCATGCTAGATGGATATTAAGTGAATTGAGAGCGATTGGAAGAAAAGTTATAAAAAATCAAGGATATGTAATAAAGAATTAGGTTTTGGGGACAATGAGGCTTGGATGGCTAAAAAAAATTGTTGAAAACATTCTTACCCTCAATAATAATCATAATAATAACTAATCATTCATCAATACATCCCCTCTAAAATATTATGTTCCTCGAGATTTGGTATAAACTAATTCCTATACTTCCTTTTCAAGGTTTAACCCCTCTTTCGCTTCCAATTTAATCCAACTCCCGTAATTAATTCATTACGACAAAATATAGGTTCTCACTGCACAATCTTAATGAAAAAGTCTCAATTGACACTACCAAAATCCAAAAAGTAGTTGCATCATTCTTCTTTATCATAATTGTTGTTTCTTTGACGCCGAAATATCTGCCAAACCTTCCACATAAATTCAACAAATTCGTTGATGACAATCAAATACGAGTTGTAGTGATGTAAGTGACAATGTTGGGTGCTAGGATAACTAGACTATGATACCATTTGGTGAAAGAGAGGATCTTGGTATCCATGATTGATTAACATAAAGATATAATTAGAGGAGAATCAGACAAAATGAGGGAAACAAATAGACTATGAGATACGAAATAATTAGAGGAGATCAAACTATAGAATTTAGGGGGCCATAAGAGAATTGATCGGAATCCAAGAAGACGTAGAACAAAATTAAGAGTGTTAGAAAGGAAGAACAGAGAAAGGTTTGTGATAATTGATTAGGTAAATATTTTTGAAGCGCCTCGCTATGAGAATGACGTTTCGCTAACGCTCGGCGAAGTCTTTTTGCTTCGCTCTTCTTTAATAATCTAATTGAATGAATAAAGTACAAATATATAGGAAACTACCTAAAATCTAATACTACTAGGCCATTGACTTGACATCCACCCAAAACTCACAAAATACACATCTGCGCAATTAATCTCACGACTTCCCTTCTAAACGAATCCATATACGAGAATAATAAATAACATAAGATTTAATAACTAATTATTCCTTCATAAAATTATAATGTAATGGAAGGAGTAGACTATTTGATGGTAGAGATGGAGGTTTCTATGATGGAGATGAGACACTTTTGTTAGTGGATATAAAGATGTTGATGGGGAAGCAATCTCAAATAAGTTCCAAAACAATTGCATTAATTTTGATATCGAGGTAAATTGAAGTGCAGTTTGGTAACGTTTTATGATGTCACTTCCCTTATACATGTTTTTTCCCCCTTACTTATGGTAAGAATTTTGGACAATAATCGGTTAGGATGTGAGGCAAAAGTTATGATGTATATTTCTTTTTTATTTTTTCGGTGATGAAATCATTTAAATTCTTTTACAATCCCGATAAAAATGTGTCATGTTTCCTATAATTATAATTGTTATTTATGTCACTGACCAAATGAATCCAACCATCGGGTCGGGCCATACTCCAGTGATTGTAAAATGATTATTAAGTGACTCCACAATTTATTGTTTCTTTTTCTTTAAAGGATTTGTGGAGTCTTTTAAGGATAGAAGAAACTATTTTTAAGCATGCGACTTGGGCCAAATGTCTAAAATGACCAAGTTTACCATTAAAAAAAAAACATAAGTTATGTCGAAATAATAAACTAGATTGATCAAGTGATGTACTCTGTCACCAACGTAAAGCCCTTTTCTTGGACTTGCACTTGATGTTAGTTTTAATTTGCAGCATTACAAGTTTAATTACATGCAAGGCAATATATGATGGGTAAACTGGAACAAAAAGAAAAAGTGCAGATCCAGTGCTCGATCGAGTTTGTGAAAATTGTGGTGCTGTGTTGTCCACAACTGGATTTGGTCCTCCATTAGTGGCATGTACGGTCCTTATCCATCTATATCTACTACACTAACTACCAAATGGCCACCTGCAATTGTTGGAGCTGCAGTCGTCAGGTTTGTGTCCATAACATTGCCTCGTTATGGTCCTTTGTTGTTCTTCACGTGACAGAAATTAGGTTTCTGCCGGATTTCCTTCATTCCTCTGTTTATTTCTAGTTCATCATCGTCAATTATTGGACTTCATTTGTTGGTCCAGTCTTGTGTGCATGCATCAATTCTTGAATGATTTGGATAACCTAGCTAGTTGGAAGTGGTTAGACAATAATAGCAATGGGTCCACTTGGTAGAGAATTCAGACCTTTGACCTACTTGAACAATCGTACAACAAAAGACCCGATCTAATGCTGAAAATTTGTAAGATTAAGATAGTGATGATGAACCATTGTCCTTAATTAGCAGGTGGTGCTCACTAGGGTTTGATAGTCCGGGACATTCCCTTCCAACATCATCAAAACTTGTTTGCTGGTATGTTTTTATATGCCGCCATGTAGTGCGATCACTTGGTGGTTGTTATACAACACAATTGTCGATTTTGGACTCGGAACGTTAGTAACCTAAATGACCTGCAACGGTTGCCAACAAACATGACGAAGCATAGAACAAATCATTCATATGTACAAAGATACACAATCTCATGTCCCTGTACTTAAAAAGTTAAATGCATAATCTGAACCCCAGTAGTATTAAGTTATAGCAGAGCATTGAATTGGATGAGGGAACAGACATACGCGGGGAATCACTTGCTTTTTCAGAAATAGCCCAACTGTTAACAAGAAAACAGGCAGCATAGTAATAAGAAAGATGGAAACTAATAAAGGAGGAAGGCAGTCAAAGGGAAAGAGCAGAAGTGAAGAGGGTTAGGTTAGGACAAAAACATGACTGATGCTTGATTTTCATTTTGCACTTTGGGGAAAGCATCTCTTCTCTTCTCTTTATCCATTGGTTCTTTTTTAGCCCAAAAGGAACTACGGCATCGTTTCAGTTGGTGTTTTTGGGGCTTGGGCAATGGGCACACACACCTTTTACCTTGTTTGGAATGGAATGGAATGGAATGGGCTTTCCCTTCCCTGTCGTTTTGCTTTAGCTCCTGCCTGCCAGTGCCAGAAATGAAACTTGGGAAAACAAAATTAAATAAAAGATGTAGTGGCTGGGGAAGACAGAGAGGAGAGGAGCAGAGCAGCAGTGTTTTGTGGAGCAAAATAGGAGAGGAGAGGAAGGAAGGAGACCGCTTTTGAGTTTTGTGTTGTTAGCTTCTTCTGCCTTCTGCTCCAAGCTTTCAGTCTCTCTTCTCTCCTTCCATTTCTCGTACCTACACAACAACACTGCCATTTCACGGCCTCTCTCTCTCTCTCTCTCTCTCTCTCTCTCTTCCTTCAATCCAAAATTTTATTGACTAGGCAATAAGCAATAAAGGAAGCAGAGAATGACCAAATTGTCATCACTTATTCAATATGTCTCTTCTTAAACGTAAAACAAAGGAGTCAAAAATTAAATTTTAAGAAACGTTCAGAACAAATCTTTTTTTCTTTTAGATAAATTTACATTTGACCTACCCATGTTTTATTTTATGTGGCAAAGTGATGAGTCATTTTGCACATAATGACGCGAAACAAACCATTTTGAGCAAATGTACACGTCTCGTTTGACAACTAAAATTAAAGATAGCATAGATTTAGAGGCCTAGGCAAGCTTAAATTTCAGAATAATAGCCATACTAAATACTAATACCAAATTCTAAAGCCTCTTCTGGGTTAAGAACTTGAGAGAATGCCGAGCACGACCAGGCTGGAGTGAGATCTGGGAGCCAGACGTTACGCTTAAAAAAGACCCTTCAATTCAATCTGAAACCTTTGTAATAATATGGGAGTTTGGGTGATAAAGAGGGAGTAGTGAGAGCGTGAAGGACTCATTCCCAATTCAAGCTCAAACGATGGCGACGTGCTTCTGCCACACGGCCAAGAAAGGAAACCCCATAAGCAAAGTAAAAGAGGCAAAGGCAAACCCCCATAACTCTCTTGTTAATCCCGCTGATGTGAAGCTTTTCACTTCTGTTTTCACCTCCATTAAATAAAAAAGGAATCAATGCGTTTCAACTTTCAACCCTCCATTCTTCTCTGCCTTGCCTCTCTTTTCTTCCACAAGTACACTTCCTCTCAGGCATCCATATTTTCGAACATCAAATCACATATCAAGTCCACCCACGCCTTCCCTTCATCTGGGCCTTTCCCCTCCTGCAAACGTTTGGTTTTTTCCAGTACTATGATTTGCTGTAGCCACCTGTTGACATCAATGCTTAATAATGTGAAATTAGAGACAAGCAGACACAGACATACAGGATTAAGAATATTATTCTTCATTATAACCCAATCATCACCAAGATTAGACAGACAGAATTTGGGGTACCACACCTATGTTACCATTCCAATGGGCAATAGCAGAAACTGGCGTGTGCTGATTGATAACATCAAGGTAAACCAGGCTGAGATGAGATCTTTCAATACTATTGCGCTCGCTTTTGATTCAAAGTAAGTCAGTGCAGCAAAAAGTAAAGCACAAGTGTACTCTGTAATTAGAGTTTTGAAATAAAATCGGTTCGATCGGAATGTGAGATCAGAAATGTATTTTAGTCATAAAATGCAAGTACTGAGATGCCAAATAATTTGTTCAGCAATATCACCGATGCCATTTAAAGCCAGGGCAAAAGCGAATAGTTTTAGTGAGATGACCTTTAGACGTTATTATTGCTACTTAGTGGGACTAGGGTGAATGGTTGTTTTCGGAAGTTAAATGAAAGTAGTGTGTTTGTTTAACATTTCAAGTCCCATGTTTTTAAAGCCTGTGTGAAGCTGAATGAAGCAAACATAAACTTTTTAATGAATGCTGCTAAATTACAGCACTGCAATGAGGTAAGTTCATGAATACGCTTTGCAGCGGAAATATCACCAGTTTTTGTTATGGCAGCACAATCACCAGTTAATCTCCAGTAACAAGTTAACAGAGAGTCAGAGACCCAATACGAGAAGGAATCTAGTTAAGGCTTTCTTCAACTCTTTCATGGGAGGAACCACAGGGAATGACTAGTGAAGTAGCAGAGGCACAGTGTGCATAATAAGACCAGAATGCTTATCCATTGCAGTAACATGTACAGTTAACCTATACTATCTTCCCCCTAGAACTCTAGTAGAATAGGAATTAGGCCGGATTAAGCCAGCAGATGTGAAAGAAGTACTTAACCAACTTAAGGTTCAAGAGTATCCATCCACTGCACCACATTGGAAACTCTCTAGTCTCTATCCAATCAAACCGACAAACTTGGGACAATGAAGAGAAGTAAGCGACCCGAGCCAACCAGACTCAGCTTCTTCAACTGATACGTAAGAGGAGGTAGGCTCCAAGTTTTCCCCATCATGTGGTGGGATTCCATTCTCACATGACAAGAACCTTAAAATGTTACCATCTACTTCAAGTACTGATTCGTCCGCTATAGCCTCCTATAGCTACCTTCTCTTTGTTCTGTAAAGTCTAAAACATGGCTCCACAGTCCACACTGATGAGTTAACATCAACCTTCCATTTCCCCAACTATCATCGTGTTCAAAAAGATACGTCAACAGCACTCCAAACTAACACCAACCATGTCTACACACCCGTCCATTCATGGAAACCGAGTTACTAAAATAGCCCATCATAATAAAGCTAGGAATGCTTGAGAGACGGGAAAAAAGCTTACCACTTTGAAATAGTTACTTGCGATGGGGCAGGGGGTCGTAACATTTGCCGGCCAGGCGCATACAATCCAGCCAGTGCAAGGTTTCCACATTAGGGTCTCTCTCGATCAAGACGTCTGATACGGTAATCTGCACCGATCCTCGGTATCCAGTGACCCTGCCGCGGATCCTGGCCACTGCCCCGATCTTGATGAGCGAGGCGAAGTCGCTGGCCACATGGGCAATTAATCGAACATCTTGTGGGCGTCGGCGGGAGAAGTAAGTGGAGGTCAAGTGGTTGAGCCAGAGTATGCAGGGGACGCATCCGGTCCCGTCGTCGATGGAGAATTTGAGGAATTTTCCCGGTTTGGAGTCGCGGAAGGTGACGGTACCGAGGATCTCGACGCGGGAGAGGGGACTGCCGCGGCGAGAGAAGGAGATAGTGTCCGACGAAGAGGAATGCGGATTCGGTGTTTGGGTGAGGGAGAGGAGATCAAAAGCAAGGAGCTTTACGTGAGTGTTGTGCAGATTAGGTGGCATTGGAACTAGGATGGAATATCACCGTCGGCGGCGACTTCCGGAGAAGACGAACAGAACAGAGCTTGAACTCCGAGCTTCTTCGTTTTACAAATAATCTAATATTTTGTTTTTTTTTTAATTGAATTTGGGCTAATGGAAAGAAGCGGAAAATTTCTCCAAAGTCCAAACGGGAAGATTGTGCTGAGCCTGGGCCCAGAAAACAAGGCCCAACTAAGTGGAAAGAGGTACTTGGACTTGGCTATCTCATCACTAGCTTATAAGCACTACGTAGTTTGCGGCAAAATAATGATCCTTAAGCATAGTTTACTGCTAACTAGCTCATTGCCCGGCCTTTGGCCGGATGCAGTCTCGAAAATTGACTCTTTGATTGTAATTGATATTACTCGTTAATATGTATGCGGCGATGGCCAGAGGTAGGTCAACAATGCCACAATAATATAATGGAAAGTCATTATCCCATTGCATTACAAAAGAAACGGTAAAACATAAACCCTATAATGGACAATCCAAACCAAGCCATTAGCCTTCAATATAGCCACTATAGCCATGCAACATGATGCCCCTAGAGTAAACATGAAAAAACCAAAGGAATGCTTACCTGACTCTAACTATCGATGGTAAAAATGGAAGTCACCAAGAGATTTCATAAGAAAAATCCAATATAGATTGCCCTTAGACCAAAAACCTCAGTGATACAAAAGGCGATGAATCTCTGGCTGAGAAAACAAAAACCAGCAATGTGCAAATCAACTCGATGGAATGCGTTGGCCAATTTTTTTTTTATAAATAGTTTTGTTAATTAAAATGACAAAAAAAAAAGAAATACAAAGCATGCAATCTGCTTTAGAAATATCATATACAAACAAAAGAAACAGGCAAACAATATATGCCTGGAAGCACCAACAGATAATAACTTCTGCTAATATACCTCCCCATTATTATGATTCTTATCCTTCTCGACAGCAAACACACTGATTGGTCCACTCTTACTCCTTTTTCGTGGAAGCTACAGGATATTTTGCATCATTGCACATTAATTCAAACAACCGTTCCTTGCTGCAATTTATGGCTTGGGGTAATATCACTTCAGTCATAATACAAATTTACATTAAATGAAAGAAATGATCATTATAATAATCTTGTAAAATTTAGAGTACCAATGGCGATTCCTCTCTTCTCCTCGGTGGCTTCGGCGATAAAATGAGATTGATGACTATCTCTACCAACCTGTTTTATACGATCATTGTATGACATTTTGTATAAACCATTTCTGTCTCACCCATTTTCGCATCACAACTCCAAGAGCTAACTTGTTGGGGTTCTCTTCTAGGTAAACAACTTGTATCAACATCATGCATGAAAACAAAAATTGCTTTGGTTGAGATACTATCAGGATCTTGTGATGCGCTGAAGAAGGCTAAACCGTTTCCCAGGCATTGTCAACCCCCAATCAATTTGATGTGAGTAATTGCTCTCTTACCATCTAAATTAAATAGGAAGTTCAGGTTGGCCTCTTTTATAGCTTCACTTGACAATTGCTTAGAGGAGATAAAATCACGATTCACAATTCTAGAACAACCACCTCAGATAATACAATCTTATGGAAACAACACTAATGAAGCACCCAAATTACAATTCCATACATGTTTCTTATGAAGGTGTGCATGTGCAAATTAAGAAAAATATAATGATTAAGGAGAGAGCTTACTTGGCACCCGACTTAGAGGAGCGAAAATCCCGTCAATAAATTCCAGGTGGAGACGTCCAATCGATTGGGTCTAGACATGCGTATATATCAACATGCTATACTAAAAACACAAAGAGTTCGGTTTGTCCTTCTCATGACAACATATTCTCACCATGTATTTATTCCTTGCGGAGAGAATGATATCAAACCATCTTGTATATGCTCCAATTATGGTCATCACTCATATTTTTTATATTTTAGTAATTAGAACCCCACTTTTAAATCTAGAAGCAAGTGACATTGTCACAAAACATCATATTGTAAAAACTTATCTGCAATCATGAGGTTATTTCACTCAAAAGAAACCATGTTTTATATGTTGAAGATTAGCATTATAGCTTGAATAGTTTAATTCGGAAATGATCTCAACTCTTACATATAAATTTTGTGTAAAAGTGGTATGATTGAAGCTATTCCCTATGTTAACACTAATCAGAATAGTCATTGTTTACTAAAAACTAACTACAAAAACATTTCAAATCGGAAAAATGATGATACTAAACAGGAGTATAATAACAAAAACAACAAAAAGTATAACTATTTATCTTTAATCATCTCAAAAGTCAACCTAGAAGATCAGCCAAATGAACTGATGTTAAGAGATCACACATTACTCTCAAAGAAACTAAATAACCCATCAGTCAGCTCTCTAAGCAAGAAGACTCAACCTTTCGATATTTACCCCTCCGAAAATTGCTTTGCATAACAGTATAGGTGGAGGAGGTTAGGCGGTTGTCGAGTTCGATTTAAAGGTTTGGAGAGACGACAATGGTTGAGCGTTTAGTAGGCCGGGAGCCCGGGACACTGTTTATCTTTAATCAACTCAAAAGTCAACTTAAAAGATCAACCAAATGAACTAATGTTAAGAGATCACACATTACTGTCAAAGAAGCTAAACAATCCACCAGTCAGCTCTCAAAGGACACTCAAACTTTCCACATCTACCCCTCCGAAAATTGCTTTGCGTAACAATATAGGTTGAGGAGGTCAGGCGGTTGTCGAGTCCGGTGGGAAGGCTAGGACTGACGGCGATGGTTGAGCGTTTAGTAAGTCGTGACACCATTTAGCCCCATTTACATTAGTTGCGTCTTTTCAATCCGCATTCGACAAACCAACATCACTCAACCTTTCCATATTTACCCCTCTTTTAAAGACACATGCGCCTCACATTCAATCAAAACTTTTATGTTCAAAAATATTGTTGCTTTATGGTAGTTATACTATTTAAGTCTATGTCAAGATTTCTGCATCGCTTCTACACATTCAATACTGCAATTCGATGTGCAATATTTGCACCAATGACATTAGGCTTGCGATTTTAAAATTATTCTCCTTTTATAAGATAAATAGAAATAGAAATAATTATTAAATTCGAATTAAAATCATCAAAGTATGAAAATAGAAGTATCAAATACCAAAAATATATTTAGGGTAGAGTTAGTGGCTTAGCTAACTATGATGAAAAATTCCTATGATTTTTCAGATTTATACTTTCTGTATGTTTTTAATTTAAAAAGTTTAAACAAATTTATTCAGTGTAAGTGATTATATTTCTTGTCTTTTCTCAAAGAGATCACGATTCAAATCCCATCACCAATGTATTTTTCCTGTAAATAAGAAAATAATAAATGGCTGTGAAGACGAATCTACCCTTCCTAATTTTGCAATGGATGCAAGGATTTTCTTATGGGGAAACACCTTTCCCATTTCACTATTATATTAGGTTTAGCGAAAGTAACCCTGGTGGTTGAGCTTTTAGTGGGCCGGATACTATTTGGGTCCGTTTACATTAGTAGCGCCTTTTCCATCCGCGTTGGGCAAACCAACAACACTCAATCTTTCCATATTTACCCATCTAAATTGCTCTAGCGTAACAATAGAGGCAGAGGAGGTTAGCCGGCTGTTGAGTATGATGGAAAGTTTGGAGAGACGACGATGGTTGAGCGTTTAGTGGGTCGGGGCACTAATTGGGCTCGTTTACATTAGTAGTGTCTTTTCCATCCGCGTTCGGCAAACCAACATTCAAGAGTGCAATTCGGTATGCAATATTTGAATCAATGTCATTTCGGTTGCTAACCATGGTGGAAAAGTCCTATGATTTTTTAGATTTAAACTTCATGTATGTTTTTAATTGGAAAAGGTCACACAAATGTGTTTATTGTAACTGGTTATGTTTCTTATCTTTGTTCGAAGAGACCACGGTTCAAATCTCATTACTGATGTATTTTTTTCTGTAAATAAGAAGTTAATAAATAACTGTGAAGACGAATCTACCCTTCCTACTTTCACTCTTGATGCAGGAAATTTGAAATGGGGCTTCAAGTTTTCTCATTTGACTTTTATTTATTGTGTAGATAGATAGGGCTTGATGTTGTGGCTCCTTAGTGATGGCAATTAGGACCCGACCCGACGGGTAATCCCTGACCCGGCCCGTACCGGGGCGGGTTTAACCCGATCCGTGACTGAACAGGGCGGGTCTTGACCCGACCCGTGTATATGATGGAACATGTATGGGTACCTCAGCTCACCCGCCCCGTCCCGCCCTGCCTCGACCCGTCGTTTGCATATCTCAGCGGTAGGTTGAAAATAAGGGATCAACATCCATTCCCCTTCAATCTCTCCGACTTCCATCTTTACTCCACTCCTCTCATCGATGAAATCGCCATCAATCAATGCTAGGGATTCCTCGTATCACTGCAATTTCGACGATTTCACATGCCAAATCTCCAAATCCCTTCCATTTCGAGAATAAGATGGGGATAATTGGGTATAGGGTTATACCTATTCGACTTCCATCTTCGTATATATTCCCCGTCAATACCAAATCTCTATATCACTGTCCTTGTTCCTTGCCCCCATCGGAGTTGATCATCAGAAGCTCCTACGGTAGCACCGACTTCCTGTGGTATCGGATTCAAGGTTGCCATCTCCTGCTTTCAAGGTATGTTCAGTTTCATATTCTGTCTTCTGGATTCTTAATCACTATGCTATGATGCAGAGTGCTAACAGAGGGCCTTCTGGGTTCTTGTTAACTACTGCCGAGGGGATGCTTGATTAATTTTTGGACTCTTAATCACTATACTACCAAGTAACATAGGGCTTTTTTGTTGACTACTACTGATGCTTGTATATATATATGGTGGCTTCTATCGTACCCCGGGTAAATTCCGGGGTATGGCGTACTGATGACTCGGTATTTGCACATGTTTTCCCCTTTGTTTCTTGATTGTTTGAGCTTTAATTATTGCGTCTTTGGCCTATTTTACGCTAGGTTGTGTTCCTTTGTCACATTTCAGGTCCTAGCACATAAAGTAAAGCATAGGCGCAAGTTTCAAGTCAATCAGAGATCAATTGGCGATTAGGGAGAAGAAACTCGGGCATGACCTGAAGAAGAATGAATTTCTACCTCACTTTATGGACAAAGAATCATGCAAGCTTGTCATGAAAAGAAAGAGGACGAGACTACGAGCGTCTGGGATCAAACGGCGACTGATTCGGAGTCCGGACGAGGGAGAAACGAAGCATTGAATATAGGGGAACAGGTTCGGCAGTAAAAACACGGGCGCGCCTAAATCAAAACACGGCCGTGCCCATATTTAGGCACGACCGTGTTTTGGCCGACGCGCGCGAGCGTGTTTTTAACACGGGGCAAAACACGGGCGGTCAAAAGCAAAGCACGGCCGTGCCCTCGACCGTGTTTTGCCCAGAATCAGGTTTTTTAACGCAAATTCAAGCCAAAGGAGAGGAAGAGCTGGGTTTTGGATCCCAAACACCCAAGGGACGAACCAAAGAGAGAGAGGGCGATTTGAGGGCATTCTTGGAGTAGAGAAGGAGGATTTCAATCTTGAGTCGAGATTATTGATTCAATCTTGAGTTCATATTCAATCTATGAGTACTCTGACTGGATAATCTTGAGTTCATATTCAATCTATGCATGTTTTCATGATTCAATTCTGCTTTAGTCGAGATTATTGATTCTGCTTTGATCCTATGAGAGGGAATACCTGATTA